GTATTTCTCTACTTTCAGTTTGAATTACATTTTGCTGTGGAGAAATCTGGGTTTTTTTTCCCTCTTCTAAGTGACTTAAAAGTGACCCTGACTCCTAAAGGGTTCTTTCTTTTTTGAATTAGCATCGTTTTTCTACAGTCTTTATTTTTTTTGACTGTTCCTGATTTCACTGGACCTTTCAGCAATTTTTAATTATCTCAGTAAATATTTATTCGTTCCTTTATTTCATTTTTCATATTTGGGAACTTCATTATGCATATGTCGGATGTTCTTCATCTGTCTCCCATTTTTATTATTGTATTTGCAATTTCTTTTTTTAATTCTTTCTTAAATTTTCATTTAATTTATTTGGATTTTCACTTTTCTGTCCTGTGTGTATTATATGTCCCTTTTGATTTCACCTGCTTTTCTGTGGTGGTTTTATTTTTCCCCTTCCACTTCTTTTCTAAGCTTTTTTTTTTTATTTTTTTTTGAGACAGAGTCTCCTTTGTTTCCCGGGCTAGAGTGCCGTGGCGTCAGCCTAGCTCACAGCAACCCCAAACTCCTGGGCTCAAGCGATCCTCCTGCCTCAGCCTCCCGAATAGCTGGGACTACAGGCATGCGCCACCATACCCGGCTAATTTTTTCTATATATTTTTAGCTGTCCAATTAATTTCTTTCTATTTTTGGTAGAGATGGGGGTCTCGCTCTTGCTCAGACTGGTCTCGAACTCCTGAGCTCAAACAATCCGCCTGCCTCAGCCTCCCAGAGTGCTAGGATTACAGGTGTGAGCCACCGCGCCCGACCCTAAGCTTTTCTTTATTCTTATCTCTTACTTTTTCCTTAATATTTCATCCCTGAGCTCTTATATCTCTGTTTCGTGCTTATCCTTTTTTTTTCTTTAGAAAGAGTCTTGCTGTGTTGCCCAGGCTAGAGTGCAGTGGCATCATAGCTCACTGCAGCCTCCTACTCCTACGCTCAAGTGATCCTCCTGCCTCAGCCTCCTGAGTAGCTGGGACTACAGGTGTGCACCACCATGCTTGGCTAATTTTTCTTTCTTTTTTTTTTTTTGTAGAGATGGGATCTTGTCATATTGCTCAGGCTGCTTGTCCTCATCCTTTATAGAAGCAACTGCTTTATTACATCTTAAAAATTCATGGTGAAATGTGTGTTCACAATTTTCATCTGCTTGATGGCACTGCTTTTTCTGGTGAATGGTCATTTATTCATTCAGTAAACAGTCACTGAGCGCCTGTTCTTGCTGATCACTCTACCTTTGTGGAGTTTATGTTCCAGGGTGGGAGACAGACAATAAATAAAATAGGGAAATATTAATACATATGTAGGATTGTAGAATGTTAAAATATTCACATTGTAGAATGTTAGAAGGTGAGTAAGTGTAGAAGGTGATAAGTGCTACAGAGCAGAGCTGGGGAGAGGGCAATGTATTAGTCCGTTTGCATTGCTATACAGAAATGCCTGAGGCTGGGAAATTTGTAAAGAAAGAGGTTAGAGTTCTTTTAAGTAGAAGAGTAATGTGATGACGTATCATCATCTACCACTTGGATTTCTCTCCTCCCCCCTCTTCTCCTTCCCCCTCACCCCTCTTCCTCCCTCTCATTTCTTAATCCATTATAGGTCATGTGCTCCTCTGCTGGTTCTTTTTAATGTCTCCTTCCTGCAGGAGATGAATTTATTCCTAGGCCAGGTGAGCTGGGAGTGTTCTTAAAGCCTGAGGTTTTATGCTTGAGTTTCTTTTATCTTTCATTCTCTTGAGCCCGTGAGATAAGCGGCTGGGGGAAGTTTGCACCACACAGGGGGGCTTGTGGCCCCCACTGCTACAGAGACGACCCCTTCCAGCATGTGGCGTCTGTACGGGAGTCCTCCTTGGGTGGCCTCAGCTGCTCCCAGGGCGCCCCCACCTTCCAGAAGCGCATTCGCGGGCTCTTTCTGCGTCCCCCCGCAGAGGGGCCTGGTTTCGGCTTCTCACCGCGTGTCCTCCCAGCTTGGCCTTCACTTTTATCAGCTCTTCCACCTATTTCATGGTATTTAACTGTCTCCTGGCTTCACTGAAAATAGAGTTTGTGGTTTTGTTTCTTGTTCTTTGGGTGATTTCCAGGAAGCCAAGGGGTGAACGCTGGCTTGACGCTACCACCCTTCAAACCCAGAGACCTGATTATGGTTTTGTTTTTTTTATTCCAGAGAACAAAAGGGAAACAAAGAAAGTTGTGTAATTTGGTAGTGAGCTTTTACATTTAGAGAAGACAAGGTTAGAAAATGTAGTCTCTTTTACCCCCCCTTGGACCAATGTGGTGGTGGTTTCTGCTGCGAGAGCCAGCGAGACCGAGCGGACCGGAGGTGACCAGTTGCCTACCTAATGCCTGTTCCCGGGCTGCTCTGTGGCTGTGGTGGGGACGGGCTGCCCCGGCCTTTCCCTGCACTCAGCTCCTCCAGGCAGAGGCTCGAGCTTGCCCGCAGCAGGCTCTGGGTGGTGCGGCTCTCTTGGGTGCATCACCTCACGGAGAGGTCAGTTTTTCTTAATGCTGGTGGATCCGAGGCGTCTGTGCTGCCTTCTGTGACAAAGACCACAGTTGCAAGTCCCTGTAAAGGGCGGCTTGTAGTCTAGAGCCCTGGACGCCGTCACCTGTGTGTCTTATACACACGTACGACATGGGGCCTGCGTCTCACTCTCATCTGTGTTGCCGATGATAAAACCTTTCTCAAGTCAAGAGTCCCCTTGATGTGACGAAAGCTGTGGCTCTCCTCCCTGAGCAATAGCACGTGTGCACACAATTTCCATGTATCGTTTGTGGGCTTGTTGCCATCCTTAAGTCTAGGCAGGGCCCCCCTTTGGTGTCATGGCCTCTAGTGAAAGGCCCCTGCTTTTTATGCTATACTGTCGGAGCCATAAATCTTATTTTCTTCTTGTTGAAAGTCTAGACAAAAGTCTGAGGCGGAAGTTCTTGGTGAGGTCTTGCATTTTCCTTAATTTCAGTTATTCAAGTTCCTCCTGCCTCCTTTGCCAGAGGTTAATCAAGAATTGTCCGTTTTCTCACTCCCATGAGTCTTAACTTTTTGTTGAACCATCTTCTGTTTCTAAAGTGTTGGGCTACACTTGGGTTGATTTTGTATCCTTTTGTTGGTAGGAATTGAATAAACCTATAAATAATAAGAATGCTTCACTTGCCTACAAATATTTCATTAATTTTGTATTTTCTCTGCTACATTGTTTCTTACTTAAAGAATGACCAGAGAATCCCTTGAGTCATAAAATATTTACTCTGCTTCCTTCCAAGCTTTTTCCTTCTTATGCCACAGAGGTTAAGGAAGGAAAAGGCTCTACTGGTTTCATAATTACAATATGCCAGTCGGTGGTCGACCCAGAGATCTGTTCCCATGACATTAACTGAAAATGTTATGATTACATAGGAACAGAACTACTCCTCAAGTGCTATTGTTTAATAAAGTTCACAAAATTATTTCATCTCACATATTTGTGGACATACTAGTCAAGTAAATTTTTAAAAATGTACTAGTGAATTTAAACTTTTCAAAATTAGGTTTCTATTGGATTTGGGTTGTACAAAAATTCGTAGAATTACTGTTAATTGGCCAGGCGTGGTGGCTCACACCTGTGAGGCCAGTACTTTGGGAGGCTGAGCGGGGAGGAGCACACGAGTCCAGATGTTCGAGGCTGCAGTGAGCTATGATCGCTCCACTGCACTCCAGCCTGGGCGACAGAGCGAGACCTTGTCTCAAAAAAAAAACAAAACAACTTTAATTAAATTTAGCAGTTAAATTATTTCAGAGGAATTTTCACTTAAATTTGCTTATGGGCTTTTTGTGTTCTTAGAAACAAAAATGAGTTCTCCTTGAATTCTGCTTAAAATGGAGAGGATTGTTTGTTTTTATTAGGTTTCAGGGCCTTGGGATGGGGAGTGGGAAACAAAAACAAAATACTTAACACATTTAAGAGACACAGAATATTCCCTGCTCCCAAAATTCCATATAATATAAGAACTTCATAAAAATTTTTCACTGGATGACTAGAGGAAATTGAAGGTAAGCAGATTTAATGTTTTGATGGTTTCATCTGCCGGCCAATTTTTGTTTTTCTTCTTTGGTTTTGTTGCCAACAGTTTCTGCCATCATATCACCCTTTGACGGCAGTTGGGCTACGTTCTGAAGGTCATTTCAGAAACACGTTCTTTCATGTTTATTGTGGATTCTCTTTCTGCTCTGGTTGATGCTATTTAATCTCCTCAACTTCCTCTTCCACTCACATGCTCGTGACAAATTGAGACTATCAAGTTCTATGGCGACAGGAAGAAACTGCCATCCAATAAAGCAAGCAGTGAATGTGCATATGCTATTACTCAGTAATTATCGTCAGATAAATGAATAGATGATCTGTTGTGAAGTCCCTCTCCAATGATTTATGAACCAGGGAAGTCAAGGCTCGAGTGTCTCCCGGAGTGAACCAGAACACCAGGGACGAGGACGTCCTTCTGTGCTGCCCTGGTGTACTTTGTTGATAACCTCCAGTCTCACCTGCAGTGAGGGTTTCTGGGCAGAAAGGATACCAGGGTTTTATTTTCTTGCAATCCTTTTCTTGTATTTCTTCTGTATTCCTGCTGAAGGGATCACTGTACATGCCCATGCATAATATCTGTGAGCCTGCCACTTGCCCTGGGCCCTTCTCTTTGTGCCTTTGAACTCAGACATCTGTTGGGATTCTCCCATCCGGGAACGAAGACGTGTCTGAAAGGCAGCAATGGGACGAGATTCCTCGGCCTGTACCTCGGTGCTCCCTGGCAGTGTGTGTCTAGCCTGCCTTGTCAATACCAGTGGGCACTGGCCCCCACCAGGGCTGGGCTTTCTCCATCCCAGAACCCAGGTGTCTCAGTGGATGTCTGGATCTTTGAACGAAATTGGTTGTTAAGGAGACTTACTTTTGCTGATAAATGAGGTGAATGAAAGAGACGTGCTAATTGGATTGGTGGCTGTCTTTTCTCTTCCAGGAAATACTCTCTGGCGTGGTGGTCATATCTAGTAAGGATTCCATTCAGCACCAAGGGGTGTCTTTGACCATGGAAGGAACTGTAAACCTCCAGCTCAGTGCCAAAAGTGTGGGCGTGTTTGAAGCTTTTTATAATTCTGTTAAGGTAAGAATGCTTAGATTGCACATTTTTATTTCAATATGCAAATGTTTGTGGTGGTTTTTACTTGTTTGTCTTCCCCCCCATTCCCAATGGTAGGTGAATGCTGTCTGTCTGTATTGTTATCCATCGTTGTCTCGCAAGGGCTGGTGATAGTCAGACTTTTAATACTTACAAATCAACCTGAAAAAAATGCAGATATTTTGTTTCTACGTATATACTGTTATTGAATGTCTGCTTGTATTTATTCCTATTTGATAAATAGGATTAGAACTATAATTATATTAATTTTAGCCATTAAAAAGATCAAAGCTCTTTTCTGAGAAGTTGTACCTGTGGCTTACGGTACTTGCCTTCCCAAATCAGAACTGATTTTTTATTAGCTGTGCATATTGCTACCGTCGGATTTGACATTAAGATAAGATGCAGACAGAGCAGGAAACTGTTTTCTTGTTGTCATTTAGAGTAAAAGTTTGTGTTCTAGGGTGACTTTTTTTCTATACTTACAGTTTTCTTTTCCTGAAGGACATATTAACTTTTAAGTTTTCAGGGGGAAGAAGTTAAGAGGGAAGAAGGGTATGTTAGCAGTGTTCAGATTTAGAACACACGTTTTCCCGTAATTTTATTTTAATCCATTAGTACTTAGAGATTCACTTCATAAGTTGTGGATTTTCCAAGAGTGACGCTAAGCCAAAGCTTGAAAAGCATTAAAACCTACTTTTTAGGCAGATTTCAAATATTAGTACCCTCTTCCTCCTTGGAGGCCCAGCTGAGGAGGTCTGTGCAGGCGCACGGGGCTGAGGGAAAGGCCTGCTGCTGTCGCTGTGTGGCTGCACTGGGAAGGCTGGGAGAGGCTGGTGGGCTGTCAGGAGCAGAGGCGGCACTCTGTCGAGAAGAGCCCGGGGCCAGGTGAGGACGACACCTGAGTTCACGTGCCAGCCCTGCTAGCCAGGTGGCCTCACTGTGCTGTGTCTGTTTCTTCATTCTGGAGAGAGGGGCTGTTAGGACGGTTAAATGAGATACTTGGGGAGGAGAGAGGGATATATCAGTTCAGTTTCTGCTGCTGCGTATGAAGCACCTAAGTGTCTAATGTTGTAAACGAACTGTCACTGGGCCAGAGACTTAAAAAATGGAGCCAACTCGCTGTTCAAATCTAGACCCAGCACTGTGCTGCCCAAGAAACCAGGACGGAGCATCCAGAGGCTCAGGGTGTTGTGTCTTCACGGAGATTATTAATAGCACCATAATGTGAAAGGGTATCTACAAGTACACGCTGATGGACCGAGTTGGTTTTTGTTTACAGCCTATCCAGATTATCAACAGCACCATAGAAATGGTAAAGCCAGGGAAATTTCCCAGTGGCAAAACAGAAGTTCCTTTCGAATTTCCTCTGCACGTGAAGGGTAACAAAGTTCTGTACGAGACTTACCACGGGGTGTTTGTCAACATTCAGGTGAGAGTTTCCTAATCCCATGCAATTGACCTCATAATTTTTCTTCTGTAAAACAGTGTGGTCTTTCTTTCACTGAAAGTTAATGGATGGACCCAAGAACTTAATACTGTATTTATTGCTGAGACCTCTCTTGTATATTCTATGTTGATTTCTCATTTTGTCCTGCAAAATACTAATTTTATAAATGACCATTATTTTTTATAGGAACCCTGAAGGACCCATGCTATTATATAACCTCTTTTTCCTTTGTTTCTTTTGGGCTCTTTTCCGACCACGTTGACACTGTAAGGGCTACTTTTATTGTTTGGTAGCAGATATGCCCTAACTTCTTTCTGGCACCAGCATTAACTTGTCTATTTTGTACTTATAAATATCTCTTTGTTTAATACCCAAAGGCTACTACTCTAACATAGGCTTGTATTCTTTATTGAACAAACCTTGTCAATGAGGGGAAGTGAATTTATGACTTCCTGTCTACCTCTGCTAGTTAAGGATGCTTTTCACAGTTGCTATTGTTGTCTCAGGAAGCAGTGTGGAGTCATGACTCAGGGCAGGAGAAAGAGCCTTTCCTTTATTCAGTAGAAAGAAAGATACTTTTGTGATAGCCTTGCAGCGGTTCCTTGCTAGATGAGACAAAACTATTCAGTCTTATGTGCAAGAAGGATGAAAGTTAGGAATATTTTTGATTTATTAATTAAGTTTTAGTTGATAATTTGGTCTCGGTATAATAGATACCGTTCTCCTGCTTAAAATAATAGCATCTTTAAAATAAAAACCTATTAAACACGTGTGAGGGTTTCACCAAAGGTTTGTCGTTGTGTGGGTTTTACGAATTCTTTAAGAAATCTGTCAAGAAAAAGCACATGTAGTATGATGCACTCTATTACAATAAATATCTTTCTGTGAAGAAAAAACCTGTTTCTAGTCCTTTATGATTAGCATGCCTGTGTCAGGCAATACATATAGATACAGATATACCAAAGGCTTTGGACAGTTCCCTGGAAGTAACAGTAATGATTGATATCTTGAACGTTTTATTTTGGTAATTATTTTTATCATCTATCCAGAATCAGCATCAACTTGTGTTATCCACACAGTAGTTCTTTAATACTATTTATTTTAAAATATAAAAATATGTTCATTAGAAACTAAATGGAATAAGATCAAATTTTCATTGATCATACCTGTTACTTTCTCCTGTATTTATCATGACTTATTAAAAGAAGATTAACTTGTTTAAAATAAAATTGGAAATCCCAGCCTTTTCCAAATGTTGCCAAGAAAACGCACAGATATACACATAAAACTTGTGTGCTTGTTTTCCTGCAGAGCTGTGTGTAAATCGGAGACTACTTAAAATGCAGTCGGAGAGTTAACAGGTGGTAAATTCGTTAGTGAAGTGAACAGCCATCCCTACTTGGGGCTTTCCCTCAGAATGCTACAACTTGGAATTCTATACCTTTGCAAATACCTTACAAATTTCTAAAAATGAAGAGATTTCTTCTTAGCTTAACCTCTGATTTCTATGAGCTTATCACCCTTATACTTATTGTCATTTAACATATATTAATATTTTGCCATCTTTGTTAATCTGTATTTATTTCTTCTGAATCATTTTAAAGTTAGTTACAGAATCTTGATACTTCATGTCAAAACACATCAACGTCCATCTCCCCAAAAATAGTGACATTCTCCTATATAATCAGTTAACATTTTCACACCTATCAAAATTAACAAAAATTCTCAAATGTCATCTAATTCCCAATTCATATTGAAATTTGTCATCGCTTCTTTTAAGAAAATATACCTCTTAAGAAACTAGGATTATAGTTTTTTGATATGTTTTCATCTTCTTATGTATTCATTCATTCATGCCATTAGTGACAGGTCTTTTTCTAGCTTCCTTGTTTTCCAGGAGAGCAAGTGCCCCCCAGATAGGACAATGACTCCCGTAGTCACACAGCCCAATCTTGGCATGGGGGTCCACAGGCCATCACCCCTTCTTGACACCCATACACTTACCCTGAAGATTAACATAGGTACATTACTTCGGATAGAAAGTTTTGTTATTACACCCTAATATCTTTCTTTTTTTTTTTTTTTTTGAGACAGAGTCTCACTCTATTGCCCGGGATAGAGTGCCGTGGCGTCAGCAAAGCTCACAGCAACCTCGAACTCCTGGGCTCAAGTGATCCTTCTGCCTCAGCCTCCCGAGTAGCTGGGACTACAGGCATGCGCCACCATGCCCGGCTAATTTTTTCTATATATTTTTTTAGTTGTCTGATTAATTTCTTTTTCTATTTTTAGTAGAGACAGGGTCTCACTCTTGCCCAGGCTGGTTTCAAACTCCTGAGCTCAAACAATCCGCCTGCCTCGGCCTCCCAGAGTGCTAGGATTACAGGCGTGAGCCACCGCGCCCGGCCCTAATATCATTCTGAAATTACATAGATGCAAAGAAATTTTTCATTTATAATTTGAATTGTATTGTCACATAATGTAAAAATGGTAAAATCGTAAAACAGAATAAAGGATTTAAAATATAGCCATGCCGGGCACAGTGGTGCACGCCTGTAGTCCCAGCTACTTGGAGGCTGAAGCAGGAGGATCATGTGACCCCAAGAGTTCGAGATCAGCCTAGGTAGCATGGCAAGACCCCATCTCTTAAAAAAAGTTGAAAAATAACAAAAATAACATACAGCCAGTATTAAATTCATAACTTGCAGAGAGGCTTGGTTTACTTGTTATTTCTTAGAGCAAGGCTTCGTGATTTTTTGCTCTTATTCTTCTCAGTCACATTGAGTTCATTCTTCATCTTTGTTATTAGATACCGTATGTGAGAATCTGTCATTGTTTTGCAGTTGTCCTTTGTGCAGCTAATTTTCCTTTTAGAAATTATTTAAATTATGTAATCCTAGCTCTCTGGGAGGCCGAGGTGGGCGGATTGTTTGAGCTCAGGAGTTCGAAACCAGCTTGAGCAAGAGCGAGACCCCGTCTCTATTAAATTGGAAAGAAATTAATTGGACAACTAAAAATATATAGAAAAAATTAGCCGGGCATGGTGGCGCATGCCTTAGTCCCAGCTACTCGGGAGGCTGAGGCAAGAGGATCGCTTGAGCCCAGGAGTTTGAGGTTGCTTTGAGCTAGGATGACACCACGGCACTCTAGCCCAGGCAACACAGTGAGACTCTGTCTCAAAAAAAAAAAAAAAAAATATTTAAATTATAGACAAGTTTTATTACGTTTGTTCTACTCTTGCGGCTGTGCTAGCAAGATTTTATACTATAACACAAAATACAGCACAAAATTAAATACAAAATATGTCTGCTGAAATTGCACGTTCACAATTAATTTATATAAACTGTAGTCATCCTTGTTCACAGTTAAAAATACCTTTTATAGGAGTCGGCTTTCAATCTGTTGACAGATGTCTTCCTTTATTCCTGTTCATATTCTGTTCATTGACAGTTGAAAAAGATCAAATCTTGCACCTCCTTTCGATGCCCTGCTCAAGTCTGACATCCTTCTGGCCCCGTCTGACCTCCTGTTGCTCAAACCTCCTGGATCACTCCCTAGTACTTGGGGAAGATCTTGATAAACTGAAAAGATCCAGGACTTTGCAGCAGACAGATCTGGGCTTGAATTACAGCTCTGCCACGGAGTTTCGCAAGGATTCAGGGCATGAGTTTTGGCAACAGACAGGTGTATATTCAAATCCCACCTCTGTGACCCGGAGCAGCCTCCCTGACCTCTCTCCTCGGAGATTAATGAGGAAATTGTGTAAAGTGCTGGGCACAGTGTGCCTGGCACATGGAATGTGCTAAGTGAATGTTTGATGTGACTATCCTTATATTAGCCCAACAATTCTTATATTAGTATCGTTGGAATTAATTGAGGTAGTTTAAGCTTAACGCCATCTCTAGAACATGACGTTTTCCTCCTTGCTCCACCCTCCTCCCCTCCCCGACTTGTTACAAGCTGCCTTATGTTACTAATTATTGCTTTCACACTTAGCAAATAGTAAGTGGCCAAAAGCTGATGCCTGTAATTCACATCCTTTCATTCACAAGTCACAGAAATCCAACTCAAATTCACTTAGCCAAAAAGGGATATTGGATCATAGAACTAACAATTGCAGAGGAATAGCGAGGCCAGGTTGGATGCCAGGGCTCCAGTCATGTCTCAGCTCAGCTTGCTTCCTTGCAGCCTTTGTTCTCAGGCAGCCTCTTCCTTGGCCATGGCAAAGCTGGTTGCCAGCAAGCTGCTGCAGGTTTACAGTCTACTGGGTTGGCAACCCCAGCAGAAAGGGAATTCTTTCTAGGAGTTGCCAAGGCAGTTCTGGCTTTCTGCCCACTTTTACCCCCAGGCAGGAGTATGAGGGGGAGGTCAGCCCACCTGAACTGAGACTGAAAATGAGGAAGGGGAAGTCCCCACTGGGAAAACAATCAGAGAGACCAGGCAAACCAGAACAAGGGAAAACGTTCATCCAAAATTTCCTTTTGAAGAAAAAATGTTTTGAAAAACGATAGCTTTTTCAAAATGCTTGGATTTTTGGCCACATATCATATATAGACTTAGTTTTACCTTGCAAAGAAATATTTAAGTCATTTTGATTTGACATGATATCACACAGAAATGCTGCCTTCCTATGGAAATCTTCTTTCAGTAATTCACATTGCTAATTCTGTTCTTCATAAAATTTAACTATCTGTTCTTGCAGAAATAAAATTTTGGCTCACACCTGTCCCTGTGATAGCCAACACACTTTAGAATGATACAGCAAATCCACACTGAATTCCTCATCTTTCAACTTTAGCATGTTAGGAAACTAATATAGTTAACAATACTTAGAACTTAAAGTGTCACTTAAAATAGTAGCTTTAGCACAAAGATTTTGCTGATGCAAAATACAATGAAAAGAAATGACAGCATCTGGATCTATTAATACTTTTTTTATCTGTGCAATAAACCCTTCATGTTTTCCTGTCATGGAAGGTGCGCTGTCTGTACATACACTCACCAGATTTACCAAATTCAGTCCAACTTCATGACATTTATCTTGAAAGTTGTTGAAGATATCTGTTCCCTGTGTTCTGTTTGCGAGAGTGCCCAAAGTGAGTAACTCTTTATAGCAAAGAAAATCTTCCGTTATGACCCGAATGAAGTATAAAACCTGTGCCGAGTCAGTAGTATCAGTTGATTCATCCAAAGTGATTGAATAATATATATTTTCCTTTTGAAGTGTTACAGGGAGTTGTTCTGTTAAGTTGAAGGCTAATTCATGCTGCCAATCAGTTATGGTTTTCCTTGAAAGATGCAGTTGTTTGTACTTTGAAACATTATCAGGGTCTAAGCATCCCACAACTTTGACAATGCATTCTTTCACAGCTTCTACATCACTGAATGGCTTCCCTTTTTTCCCCGCAAGTATATAAACTACTTTATAAGTTGCTTCAGTGGCATTATTTCCAGGTCTTATTGCTGCTTGAAAGAATTGTCTTTGCTTTTGCTTTTCATCTTTTAATTTCTGCAATACAACCTTTCATGCCTCTCCCTCTGATTTAAAATATTTGTGGTCCTTATGAGTGTTATAATGCTGATGACCATTGAATTTCTTTAATGTTGATATCGCAGGATCACAAAGCAAGCAAATCATCTTATCTTTAGCAGAAACAAGATAATTTTTCAATTCCCTATTATGTTTACTAATTTCATACATTAGTTAAATAAAGTTTCCCTAAAATATGTTGACTGACTTGTCTCTGTGAATATAATGCCAAGATGAAAGCAAATCCTGCTCAAATGACCTTTTCTTCTCCAACTATTCCCTCTAGTATACGCTGCGCTGTGACATGAGGCGGTCCCTGTTGGCCAAGGACTTGACAAAGACCTGTGAATTTATCGTTCACTCTGCCGTAAGCTGCATTTGGGGGGGTCTGGTGCTGAATAATGGGATTGTCCTCTGGGGTCTGGAGTTTCTACCTAATTACAAGCTAACAAGTTAGTCTCCTGCCGTTTCCTGGGTCAGAGACAGCGAGCAGCGTGAGCATCCGCCTGTGCACCATTCCCCCTGGCCCGGAGTCCCCCAGCCGGTGCCGTGGGTCCAGAGAGACACCACACCTGTAGCACACTGGACAGTGCCCTTCCTCCACCTGGCCCCCGGGTCGTTATAGTGGCCATGGCCCTTTGGATCTCAGCCCCTGAGTAAAAAGATGGCCAGGCAGGCTCTAATGAAGCTTGTCTGTATTGGTGCATTCTGGAATTATGTAATATGGAGATGATCATTGTTAATGATGTTAGGGTAACATTTACAATTCATTATTTTATACGCGTGATTCTTCCAGGTAGACAGCTGTGTAGCTCAGCATGGTCAGCACTGGCCAGACTACCTGGGCTTGACGCTCAGCTCTGCAAGTCCCTGAGCTCTCTGCGCCTCACCTCCCTCATCTGTGAAGTGGGACTGTCTGTGAGGTGTGAGCAGCACCTCTGAGCGTCATGGTGCCGATTCAGTGGACAGACACTCCCGTGTTAGCTCTTATCCTGAGAGAGGTTTAAAATAAATGCCTCCCAGAAACTACTCTGTTTCTTAGATCTAATTTTAAAATTCTGAACCTGTAAGGCACCGTGGAGTTTAAGATGTCTGTCCCCACGTTTTATAGATGAGAAGGCTGAGGTCCAGGGGGATGGAGAAATTTGACAAAGAGCACAGTGTTGTTTTCTGGCAGAACTGTGTTTGGAACCCAGGTATCCTGCCTCTTAGTCCCGAGTCCTTTCTGGTTCACTCTGCGGCCACTCGTTTTTTTAAAGGGGGAAGAAGCTGTTCGGCCTGCAGAGCTCTTGGCCGAACCCTGCTAACTTTGGTTTTACCTCTCGTTGTAGCCTCAGAAGGGGAAGTTGACTCTGAGTCCTGTGGACTTCACGATCACGCCTGAAACCTTACAGAACGTCAAAGAGGTAAGACCCGCCGCGCACTGGCCATGGGCATTTTCCTAGTAACGAGGCCCCCGCTGTCGCCCAATTTTTCTTTATTTGGGAATCAAGTCATCAGTGAGAGGAAACTCCTAACTGTTGTCTGTACCCAAATTAGTCTGTATTTTCAATTTGATTTCCTTTTCAAGCTCAGTAAAGAAGCTTAGAAGAAGACTGTTTTATAAAAGTTCTTCGAGGAGGCTGTATGTTTATTACTTTTTACTCTCTTCTCTCAGTTTTAGTGCATTTTGGGTCCCCAGCGCCCCCACTGCCCTTCGCCCTGGTACTTAGCCATGGCCTGTGCTTGCCCACCTGGCCTCGTGCCGTCTTCTCCTGGTGTTTAGTCTACAGTTTCTCCCACCTCATCCCCACCACACAGGGTGCTCGTGCCGTGTAAAGACCCACGTCTTCCCTCAGTGGTGGATTCCTCACAGTGGGGGCAGACTGAGCGAGGACACGGGCTGCCTGGCTCTCAATGGCAGCCCCTGGTCGAGCCTCAGCTGCCGCCTGAGCTGCGCAGACAGAGCAGTTAGTTAGGCCCCGTCCAAAACCGTGTCTAGCCTCCTATGTCTAGCGCTCTCATCCATGGCCATCAATTTCCCCCAGACTTTGATTTATTTATTTTTTTTTAATGATATCTGTCTCAAAGAAAGCAGTGAATTCCTGCAGTTCTTTCTGGACATAACTTCTTCCTTACTCTAAGTCTACATTTTACTCTCTGGCCCATACGGATTAGAATCGGGTTAAGGGCACATTTGGGAGGATTAGGGCACAGGGGAGATTATTGGCCTCGTCCCTTGGCAGGCACAGCTGGGACAGGAGTGTGTCACAGGGAGCCCTTCCAGAGGCCTGGGGAGGACACGGCCACTCTTTGTCCATTCCTCCTCTCTCCCTTGCCGGGTTCTGAAAGCACGTGACCCTGTGGCCTGTCCCATTCCTTTCCTACCTCTTTAGCCCATCTGCAGAAGGGTTTACTTCAACAATAATGTAACTCCATTTCTAAGCACTATTTCTTCTTCAAGGTAGCACCTTCTGTTATTACAGATGTGGGGCCCTTCCTTTGTTTCCTACATTGATTCTGTTTCCCAGGAGTTGGGTCCTCTGTTTGTTGAGTGCATGCCTCTTTTTCTTGCCTTTATTTTCCTCAAATGTTTATTGATTCTTGGTTGTCAGTTTATATTTATAGATGAGGATCTAGCGTGTATGGCACTGTTAAAGAGACTATATATCCTTAGCCCAAGGGAGAATCTGTTCTGATTATAAGCGCACATGACCAGAGGAGCTCTGCCTTGAGCGTTGCACAGGGACAGGGAGGTATGTGCAGGTAGCTTGTCTTCCGGGTCTAGACTCTTGCTGTCCTGCACTGTGGCCATAAACGGCTGGGGACACTTGCCCTGCCTTGCCCCAAGCTGCTTTTGGAGTCTCCCAGGTGGCAGGTCCCCCTTGAGGGAAGCTGTGGCGCTAACCTCTCCCAGCTTCACCCCCTCTGCTGAGTTCTCCTGCGATACCCCCACTGCCCTTCCCCAGGCCCTGCCTCTTATTACCAGGCCCCTCCAGGCACACTCACCCTCACCGTTCTCTCTGCCAGCGGGAGGACTGGGGTCCCCTGCACTCCTGGGAGCTTCATTGTCAATCCACTTGTTATCTGACAGATCCGCTTCACTGGGGTTGTCTCCACGGAGCGTTCCCTATAGCAGTCTAGGTGTAGATTTATTTATAAAAGAAGAAGAACTTTTATTATGACAGAACCATTCGTGTTTATTGTTAGAAAATGAGAAAATAACACATAAAGCAAATAAAATTGCTTATCCATAAAATATCACTGGTGTTTTTTGTTTTGCTTTTTAAGTAGAAAAGGGATTTATTGGAAGGATATAAGATAGCTTACAGAAACTACAGGAAGACTGGAGATCAGACTCAGAAAATAGTATGAGTTTATATTTTATTTGTCTATGTTAATATCATGTCAGTGGGAGGAGGGGAAAATGAGTCAGTATCTTGAGCTGGACTTTGAAAGCTTTTCTTTTTCATCAGTTTCCTAAAAAAGAATCTTAATGTGAACTGCTTTTTATTTTTCTAAACAAATAGCTTCTTTTACTTTTTGTTATTTTTAAAACTCTGTCTTCAGTGGAGACTTTTTCCGAGGTCTGTACCTTTGGGGACCACTAGGCCCAGAGCCCCTCATTCTTCAGGTCTAGGCTGCACCACCCAATCTGGTGGCCACGGCCACACGTGACCATTGACCCTTAAGATGTGGCTGGGCCGAGCTAAGATGAGCTGTAAGTGTAAATACTGTGAAAAAAAAAAAGTGAAAAAGAATGTAAAACATCATTCATATTTTTTTATATTGATTACATGTGGAAGTATTTAACATTTTGGACATACTGGTTAATTTTACCTGTTGTTTTTTTCTTTAATTTGGCTACTAGAAAATTTGAAATTACATATATGATTCACATGTGTGGCTCGCACCCTGTTCCTGTTGGACAGTGGTGTGCTAAACTCTGATACCTTCAGGAACTAGGACACAACCAGAGGTCGAGACTGCTGGGACGACTGTCTCTAACTCTGGATCTGTTCTTTCCCCACAAGACCATCATCCATTGCCCTTGACCAGTTTCCTGTGTCTACAGAGTAAAGGTCCATTGGCTTTTCACCAAGTGTTGAAGGAAGTTTTGTTTTTTTTTTTTAATTTCCTTGAAATAAATGTCCTGGTTTTTCAAAATTGCATAATTAGCAACATCTTTAAATTGACAATATTTTTAAAACCTTTTTTATATGTGACTGTCCTTGAACACCACAGCAACTTCCTCAGACTTTATTTATTTATTTTTTTTGAGACAGAGTCTCACTGTGTTGCCCGGGCTAGAGTGCCGTGGCGTCAGCCTAGCTCACAGCAACCTCAAACTCCTGGGCTCAAGCGATCCTCCTGCCTCAGCCTCCCAAGTAGCTGGGACTACAGGCATGCGCCACCATGCCCGGCTAATTTTTTCTATATATTTTTAGCTGTCCAATTAATTTCTTTCTATTTTTGGTAGAGATGGGGTCTCGCTCTTGCTCAGGCTGGTTTGTAGAGATGGGGTCTCGCTCTTGCTCAGGCTGGTCTTGAACTCCTGAGCTCAAACAATCCGCCCGCCTCAGCCTCCCAGAGTGCTAGGATTACAGGCATGAGCCACCATGCCCAGCCCAGACTTTATTTTTTAATGTCTTATTGCTTAGTAAGAAGGAGCTTTCCAGATCTGAGTCTAGGCAATTAGGATACTTCTTTGAGCTATCGGGTCATTCAGTGTAGGAAGTGTCAGGTAGGTGCCTCACATACGTACGGAGTTGAATAATTCAGTCTGTTCATGTCCAGAAACAAGATGTAAGTACTTTTGTTTCTTTCTTCCCATTTTGTAAAACAGGGTTCCAGTGGATTATATTCATATAATAATTACACAACTTTGTTTCCAGTTTTTATTTGTACCAGAGTACTATTAAGTAGTTTCTCCTTTTTGCTTCTGTTCCTGGTATATTTATTTTCATTTTGTTTTAGAGAGCCTTGCTCCCCAAATTTCTCATCAGAGGACATCTCAACTCAACGAACTGCGTCATCACGCAGCCGCTCACGGGGGAGCTGGTGGTGGAGAGCTCGGAGGCCGCCATCAGGAGCATAGAGCTGCAGCTGGTGCGCGTGGAGACCTGCGGTAAGCGCTGTGGCGGCGCTCTGCCTGCCTCCCTCCCGCCGTCAGCAGTTAAGAGGTAGTGGGGGAAGCAGGAGAAAGAGCGTGGCTCTCCATCGCAATAAAGATGTATTTGGGGAAAGCGAAATGTGGAAAGGGAGGGCACTCTCTAGAATCCTATAACCAAAATGGAAAAGTGGCTGAGTGTGTTGATGCAGGTTCTCAGCGTGAGCTCGCTCTGTTGCTGTTTCCTGACCTTGCGACGTTTCCTGTCTCCTCCAGGGTGTGCAGAAGGCTATGCCCGCGATGCCACAGAGATTCAAAACATCCAGATCGCTGATGGGGATGTTTGTAGGAGCCTCTCTGTCCCCATATACATGGTCTTCCCCAGGCTGTTCACCTGCCCTACGCTGGAGACCACCAACTTCAAAGTGGGTAAGCTGCATCCACCTTCAGCCCTCGAGGGCCTGCTGGGCTTCTTTGGCGGGCGGGGCCCACCGCACGGGCCGCTGGGCACCAGGGTCTGCTGACGTCACACAGCTCAGAACATTCCTCCTTCGGTTGCTCGACAAAACCTCATGGAGAGTTGTCCTGCCGACCCCGAGGAGACAGCCACGTGCAGTCCTGGCTCTTGTGGAACGTAGCGACACAGACAGTACACACATCAGTGTGGACTAGGGCAGGTGACACTGAGCCCTGCAGAGAAAACTGACATGAGTGAGAGGCACGGGAGTGGCGGAGTGGTGTGGGTGGGAGTGCAGGGTCGGCGTCACAGAGAGGGTGGCCTTGGAGCGCAGACTCAGAATATGTGAAAATCCCAAAGTGAATGTTCAACATCATGAAGGCTTTGAGCTCGCCAGTTTAGGGTGGCTCAAGTCATTTTCCATGAATCTGTGTGGAAGTACTTTAACCACATGATCTGCATCATGTCAGTTTTATATCCTGCTTTTTTTCCCCTTAACATCATATCATGAACATTTCTGCATTTTTAAACATTCCTGTAAAATATTTTAATGGTACATCCATCTTTTTCTTTTTTATTTCAGCATATTATGGGGGTACAGATGTTTTAGGTTACGTATATTGCCCTTGCCTTCCCCCTCCCCCCCAAGTCCGAGTTTCAAGCGTGTCCATCCCTTGGATGGTGCGCATCGCACTCTTTGTGTATGCAAATACTCCCCTCCTCCCCTCTCTCCGCCCTCCCCCCTGCCCAACATCCAATAGATGTTATTTTTATATGTACACTTGTGGTACATCCATCTTAATAAGAATCGTCATGTTAATAAAGTTCAATTAGGAGATCACCCACAGTACAAGAATTGGAACAAAGACACAGTAGGAAGGCATCATGTGTGCCTTCAGCCCTAACTGACATGATCTTCTGCAGACTGATTGAAAAGACCACAGGCTGGGCGCGATGGCTCACGCCTGTAATCCCAGCACTCTGGGAGGCCGAGGCAGGAGGACCACATGAGATCAGGAGTTTAAGACCAACTCTAGCAAGAGCGAGACCCCATTTCTACAAAGTATAGAAAAATTATCCGGGCATGGTGGCACGTGCCTATAGTCCCAGCTACTTGGGAGGCTGAGGCAGGAGGATCACTTCAGCCCAGGAGTTTGAGGTTTCAGTGAGCTACAAAGAGGCCACGGTACTCTACCCAGGGTGACAGAGCAAGCCTCTGCCTCAAAAAGAGAGAGAGAGAGAGAAAAGACCATAAAAAGAGTTTCCTGGGCTTTCCTGGGACATCCTTTTGGCCGTGCCTGAAGCTCGCTGGTAAATCATGTGCAGTAGGGGGTTTTGGTGGTTGCTTCTGCCGTTGTGCTGCTTCATTAAGAAGTGGGAACTTAGCCCTAAGGCTGATGCTTTTTTATTGATGCCATATTCCCCTAAATCTTTGTGTATTATCATTATTAGTCCAGTGAGAATCTGTTTTTTTAATTATGCCATGATTTTACATTAAATAATTCTAAATAATGTAATTCAAAGCGTAAGTACATTTCATCACCAAAGTTTGTTTTACAAGAGGGAAGTTTCGTCACATCTGCCACTAAATCACTGAGCGCTTCTTTGACTTTTCTGTGCCTCTGCCATTGCCTGGGAGTCCTAGAGCACAGCTGGCCCAGTGGGGTTAGAGGCACAATTTAATATTTGTGGAGTTCCTTTGGTCCTTTATGTGAAATGTTACATTGTAGCAAAAGCTTAATGGAGTCAGGACACCCATGTCAGTAGCAAAGAAGGCAAGAGACTCAGCCGTTCACCAAGCACATAAAAGGACAGCAAGGTCTGCTGAGAGACACCATGGAGAGTCAAACTAGACCCAAGCTAAGGTGCCACGATTTTTCTCAAAAAACTTGTACAATTACTATCAAATAGGTAATATATGCCCAAAGTATAAAACCCAAAGGTACCAGGGATCTTAAGTACAGAGTGAGTTCCTTGTCCCTAAACCCAGTCTCCACACCCAGCCACAGCCCCTCCCACTAGCCCCCCCAATGTGCCGTCCTGGAGCTGCTCCCCACTGTGACAGGCGTCATGTGGGTTTTCCCTTTATACTCCGTGGCATACTGCATGTTACTCTGAAGTTTGTGGCTTTTTACCACAGACTACCTTAACTTTAAGTTTAGGAGAAGGAGCTTATCTATTGATTTCTCAGCTTGGTTTTCCTACATAAACCTCAAAAAAGTATAAAAAATTATTTTTGTCTACTGTACTAAATGTTAAGCACCTAAATTTTGCATGTTATTTGTATTAGATTCATCAGAATTTTACAGAGGCAGCAAATCTGATAAAGTGCCCATAACTTATAATAACACTTTATTGTGTTATTATTATAAGTTGTAATAACACTTATTACAGTACCTGTGATTCTGCCATCTAAATAATGCCCCATTCCACCATTTAAGAATCAACAGTTCTCTTGTCCTTGTGCCTGAGTGTAGTATGGTTTAGGACTTGAAAAATGACAGATGCTGTCAGTTTGGGAGGTCTCTACAGAAAAGAGGTGACTTGTAATCTCTGTTTGAATGGCTGTGGTCTCTCTTAGGCTCTGGGGTTGCCGTTCCCATTGGCTGCAGAGGGCAGTCTGGAGAAAGGGCAGCTGTGGCCGCCCCAGCACTGCACCGCCCTCGTGCACCTGCTCAGAGCAGGTGTGGCTGGCTGAGGTTAGGCTCCAAGTCTCAGGAAGGAGGACAGTGATTGAAAAAGGCTTGGGTTCCTCTAGGTTGGGAGGTCGGGAGTGAGCACTGCATCCTGCATTAAGAGCAGTATCTCTGCATGTGCCTCCATCAGCTGTGTTGGTGCTGGCCACAAGTGACCTTAGATACATGGTCAGGCCTGGGCTGGGAACTCCCTCAGAGTATAAAGAGCACCTGGTAGAATGGCCGTTCTGACGCAGCTGCTCTGCCGAGTGTTTTCTGCTAAAAAGGTAAACCAGCGCCAGCTCCTTAACTTGCCTGCTCTCTGTCGTCTCCTGCCACAGCCTCCTGCCTTCCAAGATGGGTGGAGGAGCGGTTGAAGGGAATGGTGGCGGGAAGGGCCCAGAGGGCCACTCTTGTGTAGTGACAATAAAGGAAGGAAAGAAATGGGATGGGCGCTGCTGGTGCACAACTCCTATCATGGCTGATGTTTGGGTGGAGCTGGACCCCCCGCCACCACCATGGAGATGTTATCCTGAGAGTCACAGTCCCAGGCGGGGCATTGACTGCAAAACCCTTCCCACAGCTGAGCTTCTGCAGCGTGGTGCTTGGCGTTCCCCTTTGGCACGTGCCCCTCTGCCACACAGAATACCCCCTTCACAGTGGGGAAGGGCACGGGACCTGTCTTCAGGGAGCTCCCACTACACACACACCCCTCTTGGTGATCAACAGTGCGTACCCATAGCAGCTAAAGAGCTGTTTGCTAAAGGTAACGGGTGAATGTTTAAACAGGTGTTTCAGATAAATTACCAATATCCAAAGGAACAGTTAAACTGTATGCTGTTTCTGAAGATGGTTTCTCACTTGAGGATTAGAGACCTGTACTCAGATAGCTCCAGGTCAGTTCAGAGTCTGCTAGTCCATTAAGAATGGTAGGGAATGTAAAAGTAAGACAAAAGAATACAAATGAATTGAAAGGATTCTAGAATACTCTCTTTAGTAAAGAAAAAGTACAAGGCAAGTGTAGTTGAAGAAGCCTGATGACATACTGTTCCAAGATGAGAAGACAGAAATCTATGTAGAGAAAGTTTACAAAGGCAGTCAGACATCAGTGTAGTTGTCTTCGCTGGTTTTGCTGAAAGTTCAGAGTGACACTGTGCATGGGACATGATACAGAAACCCAAACAGCACCCAGGCGCCCCTCACTGATAGAGCTTGCTGTGCGGTAGTGGAGTTGGTGTCTGGTTTCCACTGCTCAGTGTAAGCATAAACCCTCTCTCCTCTCTTCTCAGAATTTGAGGTTAACATTGTTGTGCTCCTTCATGCTGATCACCTTATCACGGAGAACTTCCCGTTGAAGCTCTGCAGGATATAGCCCGGGAGGAGGGAAGCACAGAAAACAAGCGTGGCCACGTGGAAATCCAGCTGGGTTCCGACTTTTTCAGGGAGCTACAACCAGCAGCATGTACTTGTTTTCGTGATTATTCTGTATCAGAAATGAAATGGACTCCTGAAATTGCAGTTACTTTTCTTCATTTTCTTGAGACTTCTGCTTCCACCAGTGAGCCTCTAATCATTCTCTTTGAAATTTAACAGGATTTCTTAATGCTATTTGCAAGATAATTTCACAGAAAACATTTCCTATGGCTCCTGACTTACCTGTTCCTTTTTAGGCACAGTGAAACAGTTGTGACAACAATTTGTGCTTTCCTAGAAAATGAGATCATGGGGACAACAGGAAACCTCTCTCCAACTGGCTAATGGATATATAGCCTGGAATGCTCCACAGCAAAGAGTCTGTGGCCAGGCCACATCCAGGACGGCTATAAGCATATCCGTTGCTTAGGAAGTTTGTAGATACCCTGCAAGGAATGCAGAGGGTTTTTTTGTTTGTTTGTTTGTTTGTTTCCACTCTAATCTGTAGTTCTTTTTATATTTTTCACTATAACTTCAGAATTTTTAGGGAACTGGAAAAAAGTGTTTCTTGGTCTCATAGAACTGAAGGGCTGGTGCTGGAGTGTTACTGAAGTCTCAAAAACTGGCATAAAATCTCATGCCACCATATTTCTTGAATACATTTAAATGAAGGTTATGTAAGGTGTAAGGGGGGAAAAATGCATCATTGCTCTTGTTGTTATTGGGTGTGTTCTGAACGACAGGAGACCCATGCCCAAGGTTTGTTGGTGAAGGCCTCTCTCCCAAGGATGGTGCCAGGAAAATATCCTTGAATTGATAAACTTGGCCTGTGTCTGACCCACCTGAGGGACCTGTGTTTTGAGCCAGGGTTTTTTTGGTCTTGAAGCCAGTTTTTCCTCAGTCTCCCTTTGTGATTTGAAGTATATGGTGAGTCTGTTGCAATACATTTCTTCCTTCAAATCCTGCTCACAATTAGTGGAACCTCAAAATAACCCATGCTGCTTTGCACACTAACTGCCCTTCTGTCATAGTCCTTCTGGGCAGGCCTGGGCAAGGTCAGCCTGTGCTGAAGGCCTCCTGGGCTGTACTTCCATTGTCCTGTAACAGTGACAGGCGACTTGTAATGCTGCAGGTAATCAATCCTGATTTAGGCACTGCTTTATCCTAGGGCTTCACCAGTGAAATTGAGAATACTATCTGAGTCATTTGAAAGTTGGTTCCCAGAAAATACATTTCTGGTTTATAAATCTCTGCTTATGTTCACATGACATTAATAATTACGTCTTTGATGATGTGTTTACACTGAGTAGCAGAAAATAAAGAGGCCATACTTTCTAGGAAACTTTTAAATCATTTTTAATAAAAGTGTTTTAATGAATAAAAAAAGCTAATGACACTTTTGAGAAAAGGTTTGGGGTGTATATTGCTATATAATTTCTTTAGTAAACTGATTATATAGGTATAAATATGATGAGTAGTCTCCTGAGACATAATTATTACCTGAAGAGCTGCCAGCCAGCCTACTACCTTTATCAATTCCTTCAACCCTGAGTGGCCCAGATAAGGGCCTCACACTGGCCATTTCTTTCCACTTCTTGGCCTGACATCTCCATGATCAATTATTAAACAAAACTCAGACATCTGGCACTCTTGGATAACAACAGTCCCAGTATTGCCCTGGCTAGAGCTGGGGGTGTCCATTGTCGGAGGCTCAGCGTTGTCAAGTTCTCCAGTTAGAGCAAGAGGTGAGGAAAGGAAGGGGGAGATGAAGGAAGGAGGCTGTGATCGGTGAATCTAAAACAACATGCTGTCTTGGAAATGCGGTTTTGGCAGGAACACACGTTGGCTCTCGGCTGAGATGGCTCCAGCAGAAATGCGGCCTGGCTCCAACTCTCAGCTGCGAGGGCTTCATCCACAGTAGGGATCAGGAGCCCACCTACTCGGGCAGCTTGCTGGGCAAGGGGAACCTTCCAGTCCATTTCTGCTTGAGCTCACCACAATTCTGTCTGAATTACCTTTTTAAAAATTGGGGGGCTGAGATTTCCTCCACTTGCTGCCACTCGAATGCTGCAGCAGATTCCCCCTTCCTTCTCTGAAATAGGGCTGCATTTTCCCAGACCCCACGGGCCCCGGCGTCGCTCAGGTACTTGGGCGTGGTCACGTGACTGGGCCCGGTGGCACGTGATGGGGCGGGTCCACGCTTGCGGAGCGTGCGCAGAGGGCCGGTGCCCTTAGCGGCGGTGGCGGGAGGCGACTGGGCTGCATGTTCGCTGAGCCGGTGACCTCGTGGCACGGGGGCGGCGGGTACAGCCGGTAAGTGACTCCTCTTTACGTCGCTGTGCGGTGGGGGCCCGGCTTACACAGCCTGCCTAGCCCTGGCGCTGGTGACGGGGAAGGAATCCCCACTCCGGCCCGGCCTCGCTGTTGCCCGGCCTGCGGGGACCCCGTGGCGCGCGAGTTGTGCGAATGGCGGGCTCGTTCATCTGCCCTCTGAGCCAGACCTGGGCTTCGGTAGACTCGGGCCGTGGTCATGTTCCAGGGCAGGGTGTAGACCACGCACTCCTGGCGCCGGTGCTGCCCTACCCCTGCCCTTCCCAGCAAAACTCTGACCAGAGTGGGAGGAAGCCGGGCGGGTTTCGCTGTTGCTTTCCATTAAGGTGATAGACGAGAGTAAGTTACGGCTTTCTCGGAAGTGGCACCTTAGTACCAAGGATACCTGGTTGTGGCAACGTACGCATGTCTCCCTTTCAGCCTAGGTTTGGGAGAAGAGTTGCGGCAGGGCGATCGCGCACGCTGAGGGACTGTCTAGGGCCATCCCTTGAAGCCTTCCGAGGTGCCACTTGTGGGGAGGGTCGTGATGCACGTTGCTACGCTCAACGGAGCGCAACCCTGGTAGTCGTACGTTGCTGAAGTGCCAAGAGATACCAGTAAGGGTTTTGATGTAGTGAGAATAATAGCTGGGTGAACGTTAGTTGTTACTCTGGATCAGGCTCTGTCGTAAGTGCTGTGTGTTATCTTGTAAGGAAGGAACTGTTATTGGCAGCCCCATTTTACAGATGAGGGAATTGTAGTCCAGGGAGAGGAATCCATTTAGCCAGGCGCCGCTTCATGACCCCTCACACACCACGCCCATACCAGGAAATCAGTCCATTTAACGTGGTCCAGATTAACCTGCAATGATGCGTGTTCCCCCCTCACCTTGATTCATTTGGGTTTCACTTTGCCACGGCATTGACATGCTTTTCTGTGTATTTGCCCGTTTGTGTGTCACACATTAGTTATTAGCTGTGTCACTAGATATGCTGAGATGAGCCAAGGGCTCTGCTACCTTCATTTGTGGTTCTAATTGCCTCAGTTTTGATCAGCTGAATTAAATGAAAATGAAGTCATGAGACGAAGGAAATCTTTTGCAGCTGGATTCAGTTAAGAATGAGGTGAGTGATTAAATGACCAGAAAATCCAAGCTAAATTACATTTGGTCCTGGATTTTCTTTATGTAGAGTAAAAAAATATCAGGGTATCAAAGCACTAAAATGTCCTTTAGTAAATGACCTCACAGTAGCCTTCTGAGGGAGGTTTTATTATTCTCACCTCAGAGTTAAGCAAGCTGAGGCACCAAGAAGCTGTGACCTGCCTAAGCCACATAGCTCCGTTGATTCCTGGTCTAATATCCCTGCCCCCACCCTCACACACAACCACTCACTCCAAGCAAGAGAGGATTATAGTAGATAGCCATTGCTATAGTGTGGTGTGATCATGTTCATGGGGCCACAGTTAGTTCTTCATGAACCACTACTATTGAAGCCATTCTTGATAATTTCCATCTGGTTTTCAAAAAGGTGGAATAAAGTTTTATGCAAAAAAGTATGTTTTTATTATGAGATTTATCCAAGCTAACTCATTTTTGAGCTCTGAATAAGAGTAAAGATGAAGAAATTGCAAGGCAGAGAAATTGCCTGGGAAAACACTGTATGAAGATAAGACCTTCTTTTGGATATAAATAATTCTGTAATCCCAAGGCTGTCAAAACTAGCCACTTCGGTAGGGGGACGAATCATGCGTGTGGGTCTAAGAGGTGGAGGTGAGAATAAGTCTCCTGGGTCAATATCTTTTCCACTCTGGCAGTCAAAAGCTATTTATATTTCAGACTATCAAAGTGGCTGTTCAGAAAATTTGACTTTACTAAGAAACATAAAGGCACCTAATTTGTAGAATCAAAACTGATCCAACTATACTTGTATAAAATGCAGTCAAATTATTAGAGTATATCATTCAAAAGAAAGGAAGAAAAGGCAGATTGAGGAATTAAAACTCAGCAAGGATCCCTGATGCCTCACTATGCTTTTCTGTGAATTTTGCTGGTAAAATGGGAATGCCTCGGACCCCCCCACCCCATCCAGGTGGGCAGGATTCTGACTTTATAGGGTTTTTCATATCCACACCCAGCCAGTCCCTCTAAAACCTTGCATATAACATACAAAAAATATACTGTGGAGGTTTTAAGTACTTAGAAGAATACAAAGACATAATTTGTGCCCTCATCTGCAACATCGTGTCTGATCGTGGGGGGAAGCAGCTTGGTCCAGACCAAGGGTTAGGATAATGCCAGAACGTTTGGTGTGACCTGCCAGTGACCTGCATCTACTGTCATCTCCCAAGAAAGTGGCTTTGTTTGGTTCCCTTTACATACATCCAGCTGTGGTAGGCTAAGTATGAAGGCTTATGGAGAAAGCAGCTCAAGAAAACAGGATTACTGACGTTGGGTTTGTTTAGCAAAGGCCCTATAAGGTGGGATGTGGTCACTTCCTTTCTCGGGAGTCACTGTCTCCCATTTGGGTCAAGGACTAGACTTCAAGAACTAGACCACAACCTCTGGGTCTTAAAGGAAGGGGACCACCTTTTCTGTCTGCAGATGTGTAGTCACTGATGAGGTCACCGGGAGGCTGGGCCAGTCACCCAGATATACTGCTGCATGATACACCAAGAAAAGGATGCACTTAGGCTTAGCTGTGGAAAGGTGGTAGAAAAGAGCAAAAAATTAAAATCTTATTCACTTGTGTTTTAAAACAGTTTTCAACATCAGTATGTATTAAGAAAACCAA